CTTTATGAAGTACTTTGTGGTCTATATGCATCAGGAACTAGTATCTGTGTCAACAAGGAACACTCATTACAAGGTTTAGGGGACAGTGGTGATCTGTAAAAGCATGAGAAAAGAGAAGGAAAGAAAAGCAAAGGAAAATTATTAAAGCAGGGAATAAGAAGTACCAGCAAACTAGCCCAGTTTGCAGAAAATATATTTATATTGATGTCCACTGTTTGCTGGTAATAGCATTATTAATCCTAACATGCTGGCTGTCATTATTAAAAACAAGAAGTTTCTGAAGTTTCTGCAATTGTTTTAGGTTGATCTGGGAGTGTATTATTTTCCTGGAGCAAGGTAGCATTTTAAAACTGCAAAGGATTAGACAGACACCATCAGTTCAAATATTTGTCCAGCCATTGAAAGGAGAATCCTCACTTCCGCCGGTGATAGGGCTTTGGAAATCTCCATATCCATCATTGTTCAGCAGCTAAGTGAAGATTGCATGTTAATTACCCTTTCAGTTGCCTTTAAGCAGCTTATGTGAAATGTGAAGTTCTAAGTTACCTAAAATCTCTCTTTTTAATTTGTTCCCTGACTTGAATGCAGCAAGGCAAATCTTTGCAAGTTGATATGCAAACATGAGTGCATACCTGCACCCTGACCAGAACCAGGTCCTTCCAAATAGGAATTACACTGAGCAGAGCATAAAAAGGTACAAGTGGAACAGGAGCAGCCATTCCAGTTAATCTTCACAAGGTCACAAAAAGAAGAGTAATGATCTGCCTGTTGCCTCTAGTGAAATTGTGGCAATGCAACTTAGCACAAAGCATCTGAGTTTCTATACTTGTATTTAAAGCTGAAAAGCTTTATTTAAAGCTGATTCCACTGCCTCCCTCCTATTTTGAGATCCTCAGAAAACTTTAGGATAATCACTTATTTTAGATATATTTTATTTATTCAACCTCAGTCTTCTAAAATAGTTGTCCTCTCTGTTCTTCTGAAATTAGCTTTTGAGTGTCCAGAATAATATGGAGAGTTTTGAGAAATAACTACAAAGAAAGAGCATTCTCAAAAAGTACTTGGACCTGTGTGCCAAAACCATGACTTATTAGCAAGTGCCACAAGGCACTAGGGTCACACAAGCAGACCCAGAGAGTAGTCTTGATATCTGGCAGGCCTCTGCTTATGGGATTTGCTACAAGCCTGGGCTTACCTTTAACCCTGCTCAGAGAGATGACAGCGAGTCACAGAAGCTGAGTGTAACTTCTCTCTTTGTGCATAACAAGACAATCCAGGGTTTGTTTCTGGCTTCAGATGGGCCCACAGCTTTATGATGGTGTTGCTGAGTTCCAGCTCCAGCCTAATATTTACAACTGGGGGGATTTCCTCAAATGTTACTACTCCAAAGAAGGTGTTAGCTACCATCATTCAAATCATATCTTTGCTTTTCTTTGTATTTAATTGCAGGGGAATTGGATGAACTGTTTTCAGGGCTAATGGGAGGCTTGAATGCTTAGTTGCCTGTAACACCATACCTTCACCTGACATTTTTGTCCATAATTTGTAATGCTTCTGTGGTTTTTCATTGGCCTGTATTTTCCGTTTCTGCATATATTCCATTTGTGCTCAGCACATCAATTGGTATTTGTAGCAGATCAACAGCTTGTATGAGCAAGGTGTCATATAACAGTATTGACTTACTGCATTGAGAGAAACCCTTTGGGATTTGACTGCTAATGCCCTGAAAGCCCATCAGATGTCCTAGTCTGAAACGACCCACATGTTTTCTGAACACTGATCATCAGGGCATTTTATATACAGCTACCATGGAGAAATACAATTCTTTATAGACGTTTGCATTCCTGATGATAAAGGGGAGCAGAGCACTGTGGAAAGTTTGAGCCATTCTTCTGCATCATCAGTTGAAAAGCAGCCACTTGAGAACTGTGTTTGAAGACACCAGGTTTATGCCTCCTCTGCTGACAGTCCCAATAATAGTATGGGGATATCTGACTGAATAATGTCAAGGCTGGTAGACATGCCAGAATGAGTTTCCATGGAAGGGTTTTTCCCAACATGATAGGAAAACATGCCTACTCTCTGAGAAGTTCAAGCAGGCACTTGACAAAGTTGGGTACCAGTCAGTTTAAAGATAAATGGAGCCTCACCTTCTCACACAGTGGAATAATTTATTTTCACATAGCTCATAACATGAATTATTTATAACTATGGGAAGAAAAACAGTGGGGATATAGACTTGGTGCAGTTATTATGAACCAGTTAGACATGATACATGCAGCTGGATACTGCTCTCTTCCAAGTGAAATGCAGCAATGCACTGCTCTCCACAGAGTGAAATAATTTTTACATGCCTTGTCAGTCTTGCTATGGCCATGGAAAGAAATACAGTGAAAGCAGAGACATTGGCACCATTTATGTTATTTAGAATGTTTATGCAGCTAACAGTTTTGACCTCTTTTCTGTTTTGATGGTCCTGGTTTCAAAAGGTCATGTCATGTTTTCCAGTTAGAAGAAATGAATAAATACTTTCTTTTCCTGTGGACTCTCCCAGGTATTACCCAGGTCCTGGTTCAGAATTATTGCAAAGAATTGCTGGTGTAAAACTGATATGCTGCATTGTCAGTGGAATTACAAATATTAGCAGCCTAAAATCTACCCTCTGGTGCCAGCAGGGTTTCATTTTTGTTCCTTGTAGTCTTTAGAGACCCTGAAAAGAAAGTTAGTGAGACTGGAATTTGGAATTTAACATGTGAAATCCAGGGGCCATCATTTAAAACATCAATCGTTACTTCAGAATGGTGTTTGACAGGCTGCAAGTAATTTCTGCTTCAAGCAGTCTCAGGCAGCAGAGTAGCCCAAAGGTCATGTTGTTCTTATCACGGGTAAAAGATATCTTCTTCATGATGGATGACTGCACTGAGTGTTTATGATGCATAACATATTAGTAATTTTAATTCACAATTCCATTTATCCAACAGCTTTGTCAGGGCAAGCTAAACTATAGCTAGTGACACCTGTGCTGTGCAAAAGGATGGGACTGCTTATGGTAATCCATCATAAGACCCAAAACACAGTCTCAGTTGTACATGCTGGAGCTGGGAAGCCAATGGAAATGCCAGTCTGCAGGAACTGGGCCAAGAAGTCTTGTATTTCCACTGCTGGTCTTGACCTGCAAGTGATCGCAGCTAGAACCAAATGGGTTGCTGTCTCCAGTCTTACAGTATTAGGTAGAGTGACCCTCAGTGCATTCTTCACCAGATTTATTGGGTTGGGATCCTAGGGTTATCTGTTCTTGGCTAGCCAAGTCACCAGAACTGGAGGATCACAGACAACAAACATGACTTCTGATTTCGGATCGCTTTGAGAACTTCATTACCCCAATAAAGATTTGAGGTGGCTTCGTGCCCCTCTGCTGACCCAGACACAAAAATAGTAAGCAGCAGTATTAGTTCAGAGGGTCTCAGAACAAATTCAGTATCTTTTTACCACAAATGCAACCCATAAGAAAACCTTTGTAACAATAGACATTGTTCTTGCTTATTTGAGTAGTACATTCTCCGGAGCATATTTCTGTCAATGTTTGTGCAGCAAAGTGCTGTTTAGAAATTGTAGCTGAATTTGTCTCTCAGCTATTAGCATTTTTAGATCTATCATCTCACTCCTCTTGCTGCTGTTTATATTTGTGGTAAGAGCCATGCCACTCTCCTGTATTGGTAATGATATGTTTCCAAAAAATTAATGAATGACTTCCACTAAAAATTCAAATAATTTTTAAACCTGCCCTTCATTCACCAGCATCATGCTGGGTTTGATAAATTTCCATCTCCACATACTAGATCTTTTGGCATCTAGGTTTGTGTTTTGCAAGATTTGCTTTTAAATGTCTAGCTGTTACCTCACAGTTTCAGAGCTCTTAGAGCAAGAGACTTTTCAATAGGAAACATCACTCTCCACTCAGTTTCCTGAAAGATCTTGTTTCCACTTCCAGAAGTGGGCAGTCAAGGCTCAATGTCATATTGCTTCTTCACTGTATGCAGTCATAAAATGAGCTATTTTTGGCACTGTTCTTTGGAATAGAAAAAAAAATAAAAGAGCTTTTTTTTCTATTCCAAATAAACCCGAATCTGTGGTTCTGTAAGTGGGGAGGATGGAAAGATGCCCTGTATTCCAAATGAGGTTTTGTGACCTATTATATACTTATTGCACAACCTTTTATGGGTTGGAAAAGGGACTGGTCATTCCAGTTCTTCAACACCTTTGGGAGAAGTAGTTAAAAGGAGCCGGAAGTAGAATCCCCAGTTTGAAATTCAGAACAGAGGTCTTATCAAGTTCATTAGTGCACTTCAGATTCATTATTTAAAGTAGGAGTCATTGATCCATCCCATCCTTCATCCATATATATATACATATGGCTTTCAACTAAAGGCAGTAGGTGCTCTGCCTTCAGGAGAACTGAAGAAACAACATTTTTAGTTACTCTTCTATCATATGAAGGGAAAAAAGTTAGACACACAAAAATGGATATTCAGTGACACTGTCTTCATAATGGACAAACTGGCATATAATGCTAATTCCAAACACGTTTGTTTATGTAGGGATAATAGAAGTGTTTTTTTCAGAATTCAGATAACTTTTACTTCATGGTTTTTAGTATTTCAATTTTGCATATGTTCTTGGGTTTTGATAGTTCCTACACAAGGTGAAGGATTCCCATCTTGCACAGGCTGAAGTCTGTCAGACAGACCATGACATCTACAGAGGAGCTTGGGTCATCTGTTTGTTCCAGTTCTGAGAGAAATGCCTCTGTCTCCTGAACAACGCAGCCCATAGTTCTCTTGTAAGCCTTGTGAGAAAGGTTTGGGAAGGGATATATCTGACCACCCTGATTCCCTACAGGGACAGCAACCTCCTTGGGGATCTGAGAAAACTCTCATACTCCTGCCCTGAACTACTGAATTGCTGTCATGAGCTAAATGTTCGCCATTCGTTCTTTGCAGATATTGATGAGTGCTTGGTAAACAATGGTGGCTGTGACCATTTCTGCCGAAACACAGTTGGCAGCTTTGAGTGCAGCTGCCAGAAAGGCTATAAACTGCTTACAGATGAACGGACCTGCCAAGGTAATACTTCATTTACTTTACTCTTTCTATAATGAGGATGGGGGTTTTGGGTTGGTGTTTGGTTTTTTTGGGTTTTGGCAGTTAAGTAATTTGTACTATAGGTTTTAATCACACTGTCATAGGAAGTAAAGTTAGACAAGACCTACCCGATTTCCATTTTCTGAGGTGGGGTTGCAAGATCATTGGAAATATCTTGTTTCTATGTTTTTCATAGTAGAAATGCCAGTATCCTGATGGAGTGTAAAAATCCAAGTGGCATAGTGGTATAGCCTCGGGCAAGGAGCCTTATGTTCAAATCCTCTAATTTGCTATGATCTTAATGGGACAGAGTCTTATCTTATTTAGACCAGAGTCATTTAGAGTAACTTACTGGAACAGAGCATTTGCAAGATTTAAACTGAAAAAAAAGTCAAATCTGTGAGCTCCTCTTTGCCTGACAGAATCTGTTTATGCAGGGATAATGGTGGTGTTTTGTGAGAATTCAAATGAAATGTGTTTTATATCATTTATTGTGGATGTCATATTTGTTATCTAAGTCATATGATCTTACGTATTCTATGACTAATTAAGTGCATAACCATTTCTGAGTACTGTGTACCTTTGGAGAAATTGCTCTTAAAGCATTTGAGCTCTAGAACTCTACTCTTCACAAAGGCTAGAAAGATGAGCATGTATCAGTAGAGAGAGAATGGAAAGAAGAATGTATTCCGTTTAAATGTTGTGCAGAAATTGTCATTTTATTAATACATGATTATTTGCATGGACTTTGAACATGTAAAACTTAGGAAGTCCAGAACAGCATTAGTGTTTTCAAGCTTCTTTGTTCTCCCTCAAAAGAGAAACAAAAGTCTGAAGATACATATGTCATTCAAAAAATTTTCCATTGCTTATCTTTGATACTTCCATAATCTCAGAAGCCTTCTCCACCCTGACTGTGCAATTAGACACAAAGGAGTCAGTGCAAGTTTAGTTTCAAGCTGGACAGGACAGGAAGAGCTGAGAGTAGGACACAACTTGTGCTGCATGATTCGGCAGAAATAACATTGTAGGATCCTGTGAGACGGATATGGTGTCAGGTTTGATGTAGCTGCTAAAACAGGGACAAAATGTTAAAAGGCAACATTCCCTTCATGGTGCATATAGGGATAGTTAGAAATACTTTCTGGTTCGTGAATTTCATGTGTCATGACATGCTCTCACTCTGACATCAGTCAGAGGTTTCACCACTGGACTAATTGTAATTACACCAGTGAAAAACTCAAGAGAAAAGTTAGGCAAGAGGTGGTGCAAAATTTACTTGTTCATTATGCCAAGTCTTAGTAATAGGCTTTGATGGCTCTGTGTAAATAATCAGGTATCTATCATGATAATGAGAATCTAGAAGCAGCTCTGTAAATGTTCAAGTGAGTTTTGTTTCTTTGTATGCCTGGGCTAGGGAATGCCGGTACAGTACATACCATGGAAGGAATAAAGCAGTAGCTGATCTTTTCCTCTCCCTCATGTCATCAGACATGGAAGTGTAAACATGATCTGGTCATTGTATTTCTCCTACTGTCAGTGAGGAAGGGTAGGCACTCTGTCTTGCCTCTACGTGATACTTTGACTGACTGGTAAACTGTACTTTATCCCAGAGAATGTTTGGGCTGGTCAAGTTCCTCCAGTCCCAGAAACGTTGGTTTTTCATACTGTAAAATGGGGAGCATAAAGTCATTTCCTGTTTGAAATCTGAGGTACTTGGGCCCCAGAGACTGATTACAGCAAACATGGTGTGATGCCTGCTTTGTGGAGGGAGCACAGTGATAATTTAGCTCCTGCCCAGTGCTTAAGGTGATAATTGGTGACTCATGCAGTCAGTAAGCGTGCTAATAAAGGGAGAAGGAAAGTGAATATAGAGCAAGAAATCACCGATGTATGAATCACCTGTACTTTGCTTCTTTGGCTGCAAAAAGAATATAGTTACTGGAAGTGGTTATAGTTACTAATGTCAGGTCTGACAGAAAAATGTGGTTTGGGGTTAGTGAGTCTGCTGGAATATAAATCATCTATGGGTTTTTTTTGGTAACAGCTGGTCAACACTGACCTTAGAACATTAATGAGAGATTCAGGGAAATTTATTTTAGGCATATTAGCCTTTCCAATGCGTGAAATAGAAAAGTCTAATTTGTGTTTATAAAAGATGCTGTTGTTCATGATACATCTGTTGTTTTGATTCATAATAGAGTTCCTATGATTTATGATCTTGCTGTCAACATTGGCTTTCTCCTCTGGTTTTAAGATTTCTTTCAGTTACTAATCAACATGTTTACCAAATACTCATTTAGGACCTTAGAAATCTGCATTGTTTGGGGCTGAGTCCTATTTAGTTCAGGAGGCCTCCCTAGTGTACTGAGTGTTCATCTCCAAATGCATTCATCTCTAACAACAAGGAACAGATTCTGCTAACCTTAGGCAAAATGCCCATGGAAACAGCTGGT